CAGTGGCGTGCAGTCCATATAGGCGAAAAGGCTTTGCCTACCTATAAATATCGTGAATATATAACATACATAAAATGTACAAACGCGTTTATTAAAATTCAATAATATAATAAAAGTTTGTAAAAAAACGGCTAACATAAATACGCGCCTTTGTAAAGTAATGAATGCGCCCCGCACGCACCACGCATGCGCCACTATTCCTTAAATCTTGGTTGGTAGTAGTGACGTCACAAAAGAAATGTACCAAAAGTATGCACCGCGCATGCGTGAAGTTCACGACCATAGTCACGGTACAGAATAACCATTCATAATTATATTACACGATTCCTGTTGATTGACAAAATGTTTGCAACTAAAAAATTAGAGGACCGTTCGTTCATCACTTGGAAAACGATCGTATTTTATTAAGAATTCTAAAACAATAAAACAGCAACAAGTTATTGTATTTTTAAAAACAATTAAATTATAAAAGGTTTTAAATTGATAAAATCTGTATATCGTAAAGTACTGATGAATGGAGTACATCAGCGCCATCTATTGAATTTTTTGTTGAAACTTCTGAACTCGTTCGATATAATGCGAATGTATTTTTATAAATGCGTATTTAACAAATATGTTTCAAGTGTTTTAATTAAAGCTTAACATTTTTACGCGTTGTCGGTTTATAGAAATTTTAAACGAGGAGTTGACTTTATTATTATAAAAGTTAAAAGGAAGTTATTGAAACTTCAAGATGGCGCCATTTACAACGTTTCAAATTATATGAATGAATGTTTTTTAGTATGAAATATTGGTTTAAGACGATGATGCAATTTCATTTGACTTACTAAATTAACCTTTGTTTTTTTTAAATTAAACGCTGCATTACCTTAATTTTTAAGCTACATTTTTTTATAATAAACACTCAATTGACTATTGGTAATGACTTCAATTCGTTTCCAATGTTTTCGGCCATATTGTTTTCATGTGATGTGCGATCGCTTTGTTTATGTTTTCGTTTAAATTATTAGGAATTAGTTTTAAACATAAAGTTGCATAAATGTGTAGTAGTAGTTAAATATATGTGTAGGTTTTTCAAATAGTGTATTTGTTTATCAGTTTCTAGTACAAGTACCTATATTATTCGATTGTGAAGTGTGTGTGAATAATAGGTAATTTTATGTGTTTGTTGAAAGTAAAAACAGTAAGATTTCGCAAGAAAATGTCCTTTATCGGACTAGATTCAGGTAAAGACCATAGGCAGAGGTGTACTCGAGTTACGAGAATTGACCCAAGTAAAAGGTAGGTAATGTAAATATGTACTATAATGGATCTTTTATTTGACTTTCTTGTTTATTGTTTGATAATTCTTAAAAATATCAACTTAGACTTCGGGTTGTACTGATTCACATATTAATTTATTATTAATAATTATGTAATGTAGTAATAACATATGTACCGCATAGACTCGGCCGGCTCGGCCACAGCCGGCCGCGCTTGTTATTGTTTTGTTTGTTGACATAATGTAGGTACCTACGCTCTTAAATTCGTAATATATTATGATTTTGAACAGATTGATTAAACTAAACAATTCCATAATGAAATTTGGTTCATCAAATTTATGCCTTATTATTAAAATAAATAATAGATCCTTCATTATTTGTAAGTTTTGTTGACTTATTCAATAGCTGATGAAGTACTTCACAAAAAATACGCGAGATGTCAGTGTATGTAATTTGGCGAAAGAATACACCACAATATTCTTGAACGCACTTTTTTCGAAATGTATTATGTATGTACATGTACCTGTCTTGTGTGAGTATGATTGTATGTCCGGCGCGGGGGGGGGAGGGGTTTAATCATACGATATTTAGTTGCCTACCCTGTCTCGAAAACCTGTGCACGCCACTGCTAATTATAAGTTTTAAATCGCCAAACCGCAATGAGCAAGCCTGGTGATTAATGTTCAAACCGTCTCCGTGTGAGAAGAGCCTTTGCTCAGCAGTGGGAATTTATAGGGTGTTGGTAATGATAACTTTATCACAGCCTTTTTTACTTGATTAACCAACCACCCCAATCCTTATCCTTACTATCCTTACTAATATTATAAATCGGAAAGTGAGTTTGTTTGTTTGTTTGTTCTGCTTTCACACCATAACTACTAAACAGATTGCTTTGAATTTTTGCAGATGTATAGTTAGAAGTCCGGATTAAATAATAGGGTACTTTTTATCCCGGAAAAATTTGATATTCCCAAGGGAAAACAAAAGTATTGGTATAGGTGGCGCTGTGTGTATTGGTAAATGTCAAATTGGCTTTTTATCCTTTTGTGACGCGAGCGAAGCCGCGGGTAAAAGCTAGTCATTATTATAAGTCGGTACTTACTGTATTTTAAGTAAGTGGGTACTTACGCTATGGTTAAGAATGTTCAACAAAACAAATGTGCCATTTTGGAAGTAAATAATACCTTTAACAAAATAAATAATGAAGAAGGGACCGACAGTTTGCCGACGTGGGGCTAATTGTTACGAATTGTATTTAATTTTCATTTGCTGTTGGCAATGTCAGCGGTAAACGACAACGGGCGCTATGTCGAAATGCCCGAGGCTATAAATCGATTCAAAAAGGATCTATTTGTTAACAGCAGTCCAAAAGTTTAAAAATCAAATAAAAACTTTAAAGGACGTAAAGGTTAAATAAAATACAACAATGGTAACTGGACTGGAGTAGGTAATCACTTGTCTGATGTATTACATGGTTGAAATTCACCTAAATAAAATAGACAGCACTATATATACCTACTTGATGAATTAAATAATGTAATGATTTTCGTTTGTGACCTAGGTACTTAATAAAAGTCAAAATCACTATCACCTAAAAGTAACTTGGCGTCTGCCGTAGCGAATGGGTTAAAGCTAGAGCTCACTTACGACCTAAAAACTAGAATTTTAGATAATTTCCAAATCGATAAAACATACAAAATAATAGATACATGTATTATCTAAAGTGCCTAACTATTTGGGGATATAATAAATTGGCGTCATTTTATAATCTTGTCCTAAACTACGTAAGTACCTACCTCTAAGTAGGTAATTTTATACTCCACAAAGTAATTGTATTTGAAAGCCTTAAGCTGGAACACAGTTATAAAGTGACGTTGCAGATATTTCAGTACGCGCGACTATTATGCCCTATTAGCATGCAGTGCGTCCTACATTCTACGTACGAACAATTAACGGTTAATAAACTTTGTTATGTACTGCAATGCACTTATGCAGAACCACGCTCGTGAAAAGTCTAAGTGAAATGTTTGATATGGAAACTCGTAAAGTGAGTGTGAAATATCTACTGCCTACTTCATTAATCTCGGCAGTACATTTTCAAATGAAGTGTTATGATTGTTATGAGCCTTATCTTATAAGTAGGAGAGCCTAAAAAAGGCGAGCTATCTTTTTTATTTCAGATAGGTTTGTACCTATGTAAAGTCTTGCTGCATAATAGATCATGACTGTTTTTCCAAAAAGGAATAAGCCTATTACGTTTGGAGTTTGGGTCCCGTTGTTTGCTAACGGAGATTGGGAGAGACTGACATCTGACTACTGAGATTACATAGAACCACAATGATCTATTAATGTAGACATTGAAACTGAAACCTCGTTTCCCGTAATCACAGTCTCGCAATACGCGCGAGACATTTCATTTATATATTAACAATTAATAAAGTATATTATAAGTAAATATAAAATACCATATTTGATTAATGACATTC